AGCCACAGGGACCTTTTACCTGCTAGCAGGGGTTGTGCAGTGTGGTGGAGAAAGCCATGAAGGAAAATTCACATCGTGACCCTGGAGCATCTCTTCAGAGAACAGGAGACCCCCGAAGTCAGAGTTCTGCTCACAATATTCAGTGATAAAGAATGCATAGGGGTGTTTTTTTTATTAGCTCTCTTGAACTTTTTGTTTCGGGCTGTGTACATACTGTCTCTGTGATGTGCAGGGCCAACTCCCTGCTGTCCACTCGATGCCGACTCATAGCGACCCTACAGGACAGGGCAGAATGGCCCCTGTGGGTTCCTGAGCCTGTAACTCTTCATAGGAGTACAAATCCCATCTTTCTCCCAGGCAGGGTGAGTGAGATATAATTTTTCTTAGAAGTTATTTGAGCATTTGCTGATTGAGAGGCACTAATGCCTTTAAAAAGGCAGAAGAACAATGTGGAAGGGAACAAATGATTTAATCTGTAATAAAACATTAATACAACCTTTATTAACACAATTGCTAATTGGTCTTCAAGGGCAGGCAGCAACTTCAGCTTTCTTTCACTGTCCTTTGGGAACTGTGTTAGCCAAACGGGTGGAGAGCAGCATTTGGAGAAGGATCAGCTGGGGAAGGAACTGGGGCACAGGATGGCGTGGGACACTGAGAGCTCCCCCACCAGACTCTCTAGAACGGTAAATCCATGGAGGAGCCTGGGGCTCTTCCATGCTGTCTGCCCAGTGGGAGCCCTGGTGGCCCTGAGGGTTAAGTGTTGGGGTTACTAACTATAAGGCTGATGGTTCAAACCTACAAGTCGTTCCTTCGGGAAAAGATGAGGCTGTTTGCTCCTGTATCAAATTAGTCTGGGGCCCCTCTGTAAGGTGGCTACAAGTTGGAATCAACTTGATGGCAGTGAGTTTGGCTTGAGTGTCTGTCCCATTCTAGATCAAACACACTCACGCAAAGGGGAGACAGCGAAGTAATTACAATTGTGATGGGTCCAAGGAAACACACAGATGGGTTTGGTGTGCACTTAGTTCCAGTGGTGGTAGAGTGGTTATGCATCGGGCTGTGAACTTCAAGGTCAGTAGTTCAAAACCACCAGTGACCCACGCCACAGGAGAAAGATGGGACTTTCTACTCCCGGCAAGAGTTACAGTGTCAACGACCCACAGGGCAGTTCTACGCTGTCCTGTGGGGTCATTAAGAGCCGGCATGGACCTGATGACAGTGACTATGGCTTGGGGTTTTTATTGGTCAAGTGAACATTTTAATGCCAACTGAAAGCACCAGTGGGAATTGTAAGATTAGGACTTGTGGTTTCACATTAACTCCAAAAAATGGCAAATACATCCCACAGTCTCCCTTGAACTCTCTGCCGATGTCTGGGGCTGAGGCCCAAGGTAGCACGTTCAATACACGAACATGCAAAATCCCTGTGTGGCTGGGAAAGCCTGGCCCAAGTAACTTCCTTGGGAACGGGAAACGGTCTTGGTACAAGGCTGTTCCTCCAAGAGAAGGGTGGTAAATCTCAACCCCTGACGCTGTGATTCTACTCCCTTTTAGGAATGGGCTTTGCTGTGTTAAAGGGTGTGTCCTAAATGGCACGCCTTTGAGATTAAACCAGCAGGGGGGCTGGCATAACTTGCCGGCATTAGAAATTACCACACAAGGTAAAGAAGAGGAAAATCTTTGATTTATCAATAACCGCTGCAAAACTATGGACAAAGAATGGAGAGGACGCAGACATCTGACCTTCGGGGCAGAGTCTCTGGTTCTGTCAGAGGGCGCTCTGAGGTGGGCGCCCTCTGAGAGGCTTGTCTCCCTTCCCGTTCCAGACTGTGTTGAGAAAACAGAAATCTCCCCTTCATCATATACACAGATACACACACACATACATATATGATTGATTATTGAGTAAGGGGCTCCTTGGGCATTGTTTCTTCATTTCAAGGAATATCACCCAAGGGTCCAAGTGCATTCTCAGACAACGCAGCTGTGATTTTCATCTACATGTTCTCAAGGAAGGACGCACAAATGGAATTCAAGATGTGCATGTCTTCCCAGAGCAGGCAAGCAATAATCTTGTCCAGAGACAGTCCACTCAGAACTTACCTGAACATCTGCTGAATATTCATGAGGACCATGACTTTTACAGACACTGCTTCTGCTCGAGGCATGTCCAATCCTAGCAGTGCCTCCGCCCCAGGCAATCTTAGGTCTCTCTTTTCTTATAGGAGCCAGAGAAGAGTAATTGCCTTCTGGCAAAGCAAAGCCTTTTGCAACAGGTCTTTAAAAGACCTTTGTATCACTTCGGCCTGTTGGCTAAGATCGAGTGCTAAAATACCTTTGTGTGGAATAGGAGCGTTTGTGGCGTTATAGTTATGAGTTGGGCTGTTCCTCGTAAGGCTCCCAGTTCGAAACCACCAGCTGCTCCGAGGCAGAAAGATGAGGCTTTCTGCTCCGAACAGTTGGTCTTGGAAACCCACAGGGTTGGCATTGACTGGATGGCCTTGTGTTTGGTTTAGAGAGTAGACTCCAGTCTTAAACGGGAGAATGTACCTCGCCCAGGGACAGATTCCTCTGCTGATTTCTCTGTGTCAAGTTCCACTGTCCGGGGTCCTGCCTCCATGTTTGTTCAGTACTGTGCAGCGGCCTCCATTTGAAAGAGAATTTCCTCAGAAACCAGTTCTGTGCGGTAGGTTCTCTGTACTGCATCCGCCTGTGCACCCGGTGTCGCCTAGCTCAGTGGCCATTTGTCAGAGTGGGTGAGAAGATAGTGATGAGTAAGTTCTCCGGAACAACTGTACTTTTGTGAATGTAAACATTATGCAAAGCATACCATCCACTTCCAATGCCCTGGAGGCAAAAATATGGGTGGGGAAAATCCATATTTCTGCCAGTTTGCCTGTCTTAGAGAGTGTTAAAAGTAAGATGGTGTGAGAGGGCAAAACCAGAGTGTCTCGTACTTTTCCATTCGCAAGTGGGACCGAGCTTGGGCTCTGTGAGGCCGCACGCTCACGGACACAGAGGCACACGCTCTGGAGGGCCCTCGGCTCAAAGCCTCCGGGATGGCTGGGGACAGAGTCCCAGGCCCAGACCTGGGCTCCTGGCATCTGGCAGGGGCCACTCTTCCCCTCAGGGGGCACTCAAGCTGTTATCTGGGACTCAGCTCTTTTTGCCAGCTCAGTGGACTGTAGGCAACAAACACTTTTGACAAACATAATATTAAAAAGCCGCTCTTTTAAATTCTTCTATTGGCTCTAAAGGGAACTCCTTTTCTCAATAGGTGCTAAAGGGGCACAGAAGAAAAGAGGCCCCCAGTGAGCTGGGTGTGCTAACTCTCAGGCATTAAACACTGGTTATCTTAGGAACTTGCCACAAAAATGTAATCGTCAACAAAAGAGGTGAGAAGGCGTGCTCTGCATCAGTTAAATTGCTAAACCCATTTCCCCAAATACTCTCTTAATGTGGAAAACATTAAGCTATCAATATTTTTGATGGCTGAAAGCCTCATTTCATAAATTAACGACTGCCTGCTCGATGTAAAAAAAAAGTCAGCAAAATCACAATGGAAAACCAGTCATAATTGAAGAGCAAGCGTTCTGGGTTGTATATATTTTTATTGGCACAGATAACTTAATAAAGTAACAAGTCTGAAAAACACATTTTTTGCTTCTGCGGGGAAAGAAGGTACTATGTTACAGCCGAACTAAGAGCGACCGGAAAGAAAACCATTTGAGAAAAGTGAAGACGGGGTATGTCAATGCAAGGGCCAGCGGAGCGGGTTCATCTACTGGTGGGTGCAAGTCGTCTGAGTAAGGCTCAGAGACCAACGATGAGGACCGGCAGCAAAGGCACATCGGGTCCTCTCTGGGGAACATGCTGCATTACAACCACAGGCGGCCCGGGGCGAAGAGGCTGTGCAGGTGTGCGGCTTTCTCGGTACGGGGTTCCCTTGCCAAGTGGGGGGCTGGTCATGCAAAAGCTGGAGTTTCTCCTACCATGGTACACTCCCAGGATGACGAGGGCTGGGAAGCGTGTGTTCACTGTTTTACAAGGACGGCTGAGCGGCACTACAAAGACAACAGAAAGTTCCTTCATTTTAAGCTGGTGTCCTGCCCAAACTTCTAACCAAGGAAGAGTTCGGCTATAAGAGCCAATTAAATGACTATAGACATTCCTTCATCTGCCCAACATGTCTCCCTCCCCCGCCTCTCAAATTGGAAATTTAGAATAAGATGTCTTCATTTTTGATAAGCAGCTCCACCACCAGTCTCTGGTAACGTATATCGTTCAGCGCTGCCATGGCGTCTAGTTCCGGAGATCTCATCAGGGTTGGTCCAAAAACGATCCCAAGGTTCTCTGCATTCATAAGATTCTCCTTCTCGTGAAGGGTCACTCTGGAAAACACAAGGGCAGGCATCACTGGCTGCATGGAGGCTGCCGGGGGTTCTGCACCGTGCCTGACCACCAGAGATGCAAGATTGGCCATGAGGATTTGGGACCACTTACAGGGTAACGATTCTTCCTCGAAGTGCCCCCTCTGACCCTCTGAGCTTCACAACACTAGCTTTCTTTCAAGCTTCCAGAAACTCACTGGGTTTCCAGCCCGGGGCAAGGGGCAGCTGTTCCAAGGGTCTGTGGCCTCTCCGCCACAGTTCAGAGCTGCAGGGGTCCCACTCACTGCCATCAAGCCGGGCCGACTCACAGCGACTGCACAGGACAGGGTAGAGCTGCCCCTGTGGGCTTCTGAGACTGTAACTCTTTATGGGAGTGGACAGCCTCATCTGTCTCCCATGGAGTGGCTGGTGGTATCGAACTGCTGACCTTGTGGTAGAAGAGACTGGGTCATCTTGATGAATCTACCCCCTCTCTCCCTTTTGGCTGTCTGGTTTTCTGCAGAATATTTCAGCAGGTCAAACTGTTTATTGGGTGCTTAGGGAGGTCACTGCTGCCAGGTCAATTCTGATTCATAGTGACTTTACAAGGAGCCTTGGTGGCATCGTGGAGAAAGATGAGGCTTCCATTCCGGTAAAGAGTTACCGTCTCGGAAACCCCCAGGGGATCATTCCACCCTGTCCTCTAAGGGTCCTATGAGTGGAACATGACTCAACACAGGGCGTCTGGTTTGAGTTTGAGGGAGAGAGTATGGAGAGAGTTGACAGGAATTGGTTCAGGGTGAGCAACCTCGTCAGGGTGCTTACGTATCTACGTTCTTTTTACTGCTGTGCAAGGGCACAGAGACTGTAATGTGAGGATTATTCCTTTGTTTTAGTGTGGAGCATTTAACTTCATCCAGATAGGAAGGAAACTTGAAATGCCCAGGGAAGCAATACTAAGTGTATTATAATTCAAAGGTTTTATTAATGCCTGGCTCTTTTAAATGAGAGAAAACACATAGAGATATATGAGGCTAAGTAATTGTTTCTGTTTAACTTATGAGTTATGTACCCAAAAGATTCACTGCCAGTGAGTCAATTCTGACTCACAGAGATACTGTACAACAGGGCAGATCTGCCCCCTGGGTTTCCAAGGCTGCACCTCTTTACCGAAGTAGAAAGCCTCTTTGTTCTCCCTCAGAGCGGCCTGGTGGTTTTGAACTACTGACCTTGTGGTTAGCAGCCCAATGTGTAACCACTATGCCGCCAAAGCTCACAACACAGTTCCTTCTGCAGTGATTTCTAAGCTCCTGTTTCAAGCAGAGGTTATGTAAAACGGATGTTCGGTCCTATTGCCTTTTGTGTTTCTGATCGGTCTCATCATTCGGAAACCACTAAAATCTGATCACTTAGTTTTGAAAGTGCTTCCACTTGTAGACAAGGGAAATACATTGGCGCTATTTCAAACATTGGACCACAATGAATCAAAAACAGTTTTACTTTCCACTCTTCCGCGTCACCTCTACCACTTTTTTTAATGCCGGTGTGCAGTGCTGGCAACATCAATCCAATCATCGAAAACCCCATGAGTTTAAAGCGCCTATTTTCTAGCAAGTAGATAAGTAAGGGGAACCTTCTTGCAAGCTGCTCTGCTCTTGCTTTATAACATGCTGGTGGCTTTCCAGCTACGACCACTTCCCCGGCCGTAAGAATGAATGCAGGACAGTACTGGTATCCCCGGCACACTGGCAAACAGATACATTTGCGTCAGACACATCTGCATTCAGTGTTGCACGACACTTTTAGCGTGTCCCTTCTCAAGGAAGGCAATGCCACCCAAGAGAACATGACAGTTCGGCACTTGTTTATTTCATTAAGAGACCGCCCCCCTTCTGTCACCCCGCCCTCCACTGGACGCCCGCGCGGTGTGAGGCCGGCGCTGTGACTTGCCTCTTCAGATGCCCCATGAGGTGGCGCAGGGTTTCGCAGTGCGCAGGAGGCAGGAGTTTCAGGGCTTCGTGAAGGGTTTCCAACTGCTCGTCGGGGTCCATAATTTCTGAAAGAGCAAGTTGAACACCAGGGAGAAACTCTTTAACAGAGCCCTGGCACGGATACTCATGGGATTCTGTCCCTGTGGTGACTTGGAACTGGTCAGCACTGCTTTCTCACAGATGCCTGGCCACAATTTTGGGAAGTGTTTGTAAGGTGCAAGCCCCAGATTTTCAAAGGCTCTTTCCATTTAGCGGGACTGTTCACTTAAGAAGGTTTCTGTTT